TCTGCTGTCTTTTACTCTGATCTGCGCTGTTCTTTCCTTCTCTGTCTAACGTGCACTCCTAATATCGCCTAATGAATGTGCGATGTGTGGTCGAGGATGATGGCCGAACAGTGCACCAGCAGCAGTTAGGCGCCAGTCGACTGAACTCGACTGAACTCTCTCTCCATTCCTCTCGCCGATTGGAGCAAGCCGTCGAATGGTGATAAATTGGCTCATTAATGCACACACACACTGTGCCTCTCAATATGCTCTGATGATGCTTCAATTTGCCGCCCGATCATTGCCGCCTTTTAATGACGAGGCACACGTCGTCGTCAGTGTGTGATTGAAACAGCAGCAGCAGCGGCAGCACTACCAGGCCAACTTCATCAGAGAAACTCGCCTAGTGTACTGGTTCTTCTGCCGGCGTCAGCAGCTTTCTTCTTGTTCACTGTCCGGTGGTGGCAGCATGCACATTCAAATGACCCCTTGCTCCTTCATCTTCATCTATTCCCTCCTTCCCTTCCTTTTTTTCTCTTTTCTGGCTATCCTTTTCGGTGATCGCTTTCACCGAGTCCTCTCTCTCTCTCTCTCTCTCTCTCTCATTTCCTCTTTTCTATTCTAATTCACTCTCGCAATTACACTACACCCCTGTAGAGGAGCACCAACTTCAGTGGACTGTCAATCGAGTGCCGTTCAGCTTAAGTCATATAGCCTGTCTGTCTGCCTTCGCTGCCTGTCATTAATAACAATCAGCCGTTGTGATTAGTGTTGATAATTGAAAAATTTGACTTGCAGCTATTGGGTAGNTTTCCTCTTTTCTATTCTAATTCACTCTCGCAATTACACTACACCCCTGTAGAGGAGCACCAACTTCAGTGGACTGTCAATCGAGTGCCGTTCAGCTCAAGTCATATAGCCTGTCTGTCTGCCCTCGCTGCCTGTCATTAATAACAATCAGCCGTTGTGATTAGTGTTGATAATTGAAAAATCTGACTTGCAGCTATTGGGTAGCCCATCTCCGTCTCATTCACATTCTGCACCACTATCACTCGCAGTGGTCTTTCTCTCGCTCACTACACACTGAGTGAGCCATTCAATTCAAATGCTAATTAGTACCCCCTTTTCCTTGATGATCTATTCTGCCAGGCCCACAGTGCTCTACTACTACTACTACTACTACTACTACTACTACTACTACTACTACTACAGCAGACACTGGAGGGTAAATGCTGTAAATAGACTTTTCTTGCGCTAAAGGTGCACACAGCACATCAGCTATCTGACAGCCTTTGTTGTACAGCATATGCTTTGTCACTGGGTTTCAACTTTTGGTCTGCCTGATCAGATTGCCTTGCGTGCCACGAGCCTGCACCGAAACTCAGTTTGGGCAGGTGTAGTAAGCTGAAGTGGACTGGCGGGGATTACACGCACTGTCTTGTTGTACATGTACCGTCGTCTCTTTTCAGTGGTTATTACCGGTGCACTGTTTCTTTCCATTCGGCGTGAGCTCCTCTCTCAGTGCGCCAACTCGATACTCTTCTTCCTCATTATATACACACAGGCAGCTCGACTTTTTCGAGGCTACAGTAGTGTAGTAAGCAAAGTAAACCAGTTTTTTCTGTTTTGTCTTTCTCTCACGCCAGGAAAGGAGGAAACTCTCTTGAAGCCCGAAGCACTGAACCCTGACTGGTAGCGGCGGTGAAACCTGTCACGCTGTCAAGGCAAAGTTTATTTACCCTGCCAGTGCGGCTGCTTCTTCAGCTGCTGCACACTGCTTGCAAAGATAAAGGGAACAGACGGAACAACAGACGGACAGTGGCCATGGTAGTGGTAGTGCTGGTGGTGGTGGTGGTGGTAGTCGACTCAATGCAAACGGATACACTGAAGCGGTCAGTGCTTACCCGACCCTACACGACAGAGGCCCATTACCGAGCAGTTCACTTGGCGCCATTGCTGATTACCTGTCCCTTCTTCTCCATTCTTTTTCCCCATTCTTTCTCTCACTGTCCTCCGCTTATTGTCTCGCTAATTAGATCAGCAAACGAATGCATGGCACGAATGCATCGACAGATGCTCTGCCCAAAGGGTCATCATGTGGTCGCACTGATGATGATGATGTGTGGTTGCCCTCGTGGTTATTAGTGCAAATGGTTCAATTGCCTGGTCTTTGAGTTGGGCTGTTGGTGGTGGCGGCAGTGGAGGCTATGACACGGTCAATTTGAGCTGATGAGACCACTTTTTTCCTCTTCTTGTCAAAACACTCACACACACATAGAGGCAAACTACCTCTACCGAATGGAACATTAGCGAGCGGTGGTTGTGAGCCACAACGGAATGTGCTCCTTTTCTGGTGCTGCCTGTTATGTATGCGCTGACCATTGCCAATTCGATTAGCTGCAGTGTGAAAACAAGTGGCTGCACCAGTGCTGCTGCTGCTTCTGGTGGCCATCTAATCGTGCGGTGTAAGGTACTTCATTGCGAGTGCAGTCCCGTTCAGTGAAGGCATTCGAAAGGAGAGCAAGCTGGTGGAACGGTTACTGTAAACAGTGAGCGTTACTTCCTTCTCCCTCTCTCATTCTTTGGCTGGAGAGTGCTTTTTAGCACGGTGTCCATTATCCCCCTGTGAATTGCCACAAAAACACGTCGCTGCACTCTTTTTCGCTCTTTTCCGACGCAGTTGAACTTGCTAACTTACAGCAGCAAAAATGGTTTGGAACATTCCACAATGCCCGTTTACTAAAAGCGAGTATATCGATTTGATGGCTTCTCTCTTGCTATTGTCTACATTTCGCTTTGCTGCTGTGTGCCTTTTCTTTCCCCTGATCAGTTGTTGTACATTTGCTGTACAAATGGCAATTGTACGTTTGGCCTTGTGTCGGTCATAAGAGAGAAAGGATTGGGCATCAATGTAAGGCTGCCCCGTTTCTTGCCAAAGAAGAGAGCAAAAAGTGGTACGGCTAGACGCTGATCGATGCTCAATAACATTTTTTAGCTCTAATTGTGAGTAATGAGTACTGCTGTTGGTGTGCCCTTTTGGANGAGAGCAAAAAATGGTACGGCTAGACGCTGATCGATGCTCAATAACATTTCTTAGCTCTAATTGTGAGTAATGAGTACTGCTGTTGGTGTGCCCTTTTGGTGGCCCTGGCCTCTGGCGTGATTTATGTCAACTTACCACTTTGATTAATTCTTACTGTTTTTACGTAATTCTATCTCTGAGACTGGCGACACCTTGTGCACGTTGTCATGTTGCCCTTTGCCTCAAAGTAGTCTCAAACACTGTATGCTCCCAAACACTGAGTTGCGTAGTTTATGCTTTTTAGTGCAGTGGGTGCTGCCGACGTTTGTCTCGTTTATTCCATCCTTCCTTCCTTCATTGAGATCTGCCTCACGATTCCAACTAAGTGCTCCTGCTACCCGTAACAGTAAATGGAGCCAAATTGCCTTTATGGCTATTTATGGATTGACCGTGCACTGGTACAGTGAAGGAAAACACTGCTGGGCGAAACGGCCGTTTTCGATCTGATCTAGAAAGTGCCCTCGCACTGTCGTCCAATGTGCTTTGCAGTGGCTGCTGTTGTTTCCCACCTCTGCATAGTCCAATCGATTTCCACTTCTTCCACTTCTTTCCCTCCCCCTCTTCAAATGACCACAAATTGACCATTTTCCGTTTTATTTTCAATTTGCAGACCCACTCCGCCACCTCAGGCGCCCTCGCCGTACCTTCCCACCAAGCGGGCCTGTTCACTGTACATTCAGACGGACACCTTTCTCTGGGACCACGTAAAGAAGCACGAGTCGGAGAAGTCGGACGCAAAGGTGCGCGAGGAGATTGCCTCGCTGGTGGCGCAGCACATCAAGGCAGTGAACCACATCTACGAGACGTCCGTCTTCAAGGACATCATCGGCCTAAAGTTTATCGTCCAGCGACTGCGCATCAACGACTCGTCCGCCTGTGAGGGCGTCAAGCGAGAGAACAACCAATTCTGCTCGCCAAACATTGACGTCTCCAACTTCCTCAATCTCAACTCACAGTTCAATCACAATGACTTCTGTCTGGCGTACATCTTTACTTATCGAGACTTCTCAGGCGGCACTCTTGGCCTGGCGTGGGTTGCCAGCACTTCGGGTACGTACGGTTCAATCTCAATAGAAAAGAAGGAAAGAAAGAAAGAAAGAAGGCAGCTGCAGATAGTGCTCAAGGAATGCTGCCATAGACCACACACACTCGCATAGTTTGAAGGAGGGCATTGATTCATTAGCCAGTGATTTGACCATTCAATTGAACTGATGCAGCTGCAGGTCACTGCAGTGAATGGTGAAACCAATTCATCTACTTTGGTAGAGGCAATGTAGGCCAACTGCGACGCAAAGTTCAGCTGAGGAGGCAGACAAGTCAATAGTGAAGGCGCCGCAGAGGCACTATCGATTGATCGGAGGGAAGCGCATCGTCGATGTCTTTCAAATATTTTCCAGTTTGNTGAATGGTGAAACCAATTCATCTACTTTGGTAGAGGCAATGTAGGCCAACTGCGACGAAAAGTTCAGCTGAGGAGGCAGACCAGTCAATAGTGAAGGCGCCGCAGAGGCACTATCGATTGATCGGAGGGAAGCGCATCGTCGATGTCTTTCAAATATTTTCCAAATGAAAGTGGCGCCCAAGCGGAGTGGTGTACCATTTGGTGTCATCCTCGTCCGCCTTTATGTCCTTGCCCTTTGGGCACTCAGCGCAAAGCAGTAATTAATGACTGCTCCAACTCTAATTGCCGCTCGATCACTGGCATTCCAATTCAGTGCTGTTGCTGCCGCACAGTACTCTTTCGATTCTTAACAGCACTTTGCAGCAGCCACTGTGTACAGCAGAAGCAGTCCCACATTGACTGCACTAATTCGATTAGTGGTCGACTGTGTAGGTTGGTCTGTCGCCCTAGAGAGTCACTTTACTGTACTTATATTGGACAGTTTGGTAGTGTACTGCTGGCACACTGTATACTGCAAGAGCGGAGTGAACACTAATTAAGCTGCCAGTGTTCACTCAAAGTCAATAAGAAGAGTTGGAAGAGTTGACAGTGGAAGGGGTACTTCTCTGCCAGTGCATTGCTTTTCCACTTTTCTGGCACCTTTTACAACTTGTCCCTGCTGGCACTTTATTCACTTTTTTTCTCTCACTCTTTCATTCAAAGCCGATCATCGAAAGTTGATTCTCAAGCCGATTCGCCCATTTGTGTTTGATGCTCAATCAGTCTGTATGAGTCATCACTGCACTTCAAATTGAATCAGTGTACAATGCGATAGTGGGGCACTGCAATTTCCCTTTGGGCACAAGCACAGGTGGACTTGCATATCTGAGTCAGGCACAAAGTAAAAAAGAAGAAGAGCTCAGCGCACAGTCAGATACAGAGCTCACCAATGCCGTCGTGAGCGACAACGGTGGTAGTGGTAACCGCTACGCTGTGGTGTACGTAGGGCAGTGTGGTAGTGGCAGAGGGCTGCACTGCCCGAAAAAGCTAGTTCGCGTGCTACTGCCAGTAGCCTACTGGAGGGGACTCGGCACAGGCGCAGTGACTTCATGCCACTACTCCACTGCCCTACATACACCACAGCGTAGCGGTTACCACTACCACCGTTGTCGCTCACGACGGCATTGGTGAGCTCTGTATCTGACTGTGCGCTGAGCTCTTCTTCTTTTTTACTTTGTGCCTGATGAATGGAGAAAAGAAGCTTTTGTAAGGCACTATCGCTTTTGATGCTGTTGCTGCTGTTTAAAGTGCACTACCCAAGCTTGTCTGCCTGTCTAGTTTAGTGTCTATGAATTTTNAATCAGTGTACAATGCGATAGTGGGGCACTGAAATTTCCCTTTGGGCACAGGCACAGGTGGACTTGCATATTTGACTGTGTGCTGAAGCTCTTCTTTTTTACTTTGTGCCTGATGAATGGAGAAAAGAAGCTTTTGTGGGCATTGTCGTTTTTGATGCCGTCGCTGTTGCTTAAAGTGCACTACCCAAGCCTGTCTGCCTGTCTAGTTTAGTTTCTATGAATTTCGAAAATCATTCATCGCCTTTGCCAGTTTTCAAACTGACGCACTGAACAGATTCAGATTCATCGGCAATCAATTTCATTTTCCGGTTTGCCATCATCTTATTAAACAGTAAGATAGGTGCCGCCGGATTCCTTTACAGTTTCAAAAGGAAATCGAGTGCATGCAGCTCTCTCTGCGTTGGCGAATCTCTGCCTCGAATTGACATGTTGGCAAGAAAGTGCTGATGCTGGTGATGGTGGTGGTGGCGGCAGCGGCGGTGCACCGATCGATCGGATCGAGGCTACGGTTTCTGTTACTTTTACTGTACAATGGTCTTGTGGGGTTTTATGATGAAAAATTTAATTTTTCTTTTTCATCTTCCTTTTCAAATGTGTGTGTGTATCCCACTGCGGAAAACGGATAAAAGCTTTTAGAGTTGGTGAATGCAACCATCTCTGGTGGTGAATGGTGAATGGCATTAGGCTCGATGCCGTCAGTGGCAGACAGTGCCCTATGATTGAGTTTACAGTAGCTACTGCTGCTACAGTACTGCCGTGGCCCATCATCGGCAAACGGGCAATGGCAATGTTTTTGATCTTTCTCTAGCTGGCCTCTCTTTTCCTGGTTGCTGGCAACTCTGCTAATGCGTTCGATTATTTGTACAGCCTCCGCACTGTCTCTCTGTGTGTGCAGTGCATTTCAGTGATCCTTTTCAGTTTTGACCACAGTCACCACCACCACCATTGCAAACTACCATCAGCAGCAGCAGCAGGTACAATGAACTGCGTGGTCTCTCTGCCGCCTTTCAGCCTTTGTCTTTGTCACACTACCACTGAGTTGAGCCCAACTTTGCCACTGTTGATTAGGCGACTGTCAATTTCACGGGAACGCCTAACCCGTGTCGCGGTGATGCATCATCGCCATTACTTCATTCATTTGTCTCTCCCACTCTTTGGCTAATGTCATTTTGACTGTCTCTCTGTGTATCTGTCTTGCTGTATATGTTTTCATTATTATTACTATTATCTTGGCCAGTGCCATTCTTGTTGTTGCTGAAGTTCCAATGGACAGCGAGAGACAGACACACAGCTACACAGCTGCGCCACTTTGTAAAGTACCGTTGACGATCGCTGTGTCGTTATCGAACTCTCCGCCGGCCGTCGTCGTCGATCGGCACAGCTTATCAGTTTGCTTCGATCGCCATTAGTCAGGTGAAATCGGTGAAAAGTGTGTGTGTGTGCGTGGCGGTCCCGGCGACATTGGTCCGTACACAGTTTTCCTCTCTCGCTCTCACTTCATCTGCTAATGNAATCGGTGAAAAGTGTGTGTGTGTGCGTGGCGGTCCCGGCGACATTGGTCTGTACACAGTTTTCCTCTCTCGCTCTCACTTCATCTGCTAATAGTCGTGATTGATCGAGCATTTGTCCTTGCTGCTGTTGCTGTCTGTTCCCTTTCCTTTCCTTCCCTTCCCTTCTCTTCCGCAATTCTACTGGCAAGCAAACTTTTTGCATTGTTTACACATTGCTTCTCTAGCTGTTCGCTTCTTTCCTCTTCCCTCTCCTTCCCTTTCTTTACTTTATATTTTACTTTTTCTCAATCTCTCTTTTTTATTTACCCACCATCTCTTCCTTCTTCCTCCTCTACAGGGGCATCTGGTGGAATCTGCGAAAAGTACAAGACCTACACGGAGAACATTGGCGGGCGTCAGGTGCAGACGAAGCGGTCACTGAACACGGGCATCATCACCTTTGTCAACTACAACTCGCGGGTGCCGCCAAAGGTGAGCGAGCTGACGTTGGCCCACGAGATTGGCCACAACTTTGGCTCTCCGCACGACTACCCGGCGGAGTGTCGTCCCGGCGGTGCCCTGGGCAACTTCATCATGTACTCCTCGGCGACCAGTGGCGAGCGCCAGAACAACAACAAATTCTCCCACTGCTCCATTGCCAACATCAGCTCGGTGCTGGCGGCGGTCTTCAACAATGAAGGCAAGGAGAACTGCTTCCAGGAGGACAATGGCCCATTCTGCGGCAATAAGATTGTCGAGGAGGGTGAGGAGTGCGACTGTGGCTACGATTCGCGCGAGTGCAACGAGGACTGCTGCTATCCGAGGAATGTCGAGGAATTCAAGGCGATGGATCCTTATGCGCAGGTGAGTTTTGTTTGTTCTGCGGAATTATTACTGTAGTTTAGGGAGAATTACCGCCGGTGATGACAGTACTGCTTTGCACAAGGTCAAGGCTGCAAATTGCGAGTGCTTGTGTGCGCCTGCATGCGCGGCTATACTCAATTCATTCAAGTGGTTGGTATCGTAATCGACCTTGGTAATGACTTTGCAATGCTCGACGCGCCAGCGACCAGTGAGCATTGCTGTTGTCGATTAACTCGTCGTCGCCACTTTGCCAGCAAGACTGTACACATAGTGCCAGTGCTCACGCAATGACAGTATGAAGTGCTGCTGCTGCTGATGATGATGATGATGGCAGTGGCGGTGGTAAAGTGATGATGGACGAGACAAGTGCCACTTTTGTAGTGTCTGTACTCTCTGTACTGTCAACTACTTCACACAGCTGTACTGTTGATAGCTACTGACCCGAAGCGGAAAGGAAGTGATGAGTTATTATTAATTTTCCTTGGTGCATAACTTGCTGCAATTATACACACATCGCACAGTCGGAGTGTATGTGTGCATTGTACAGCACTGCATCGAGATCGCACTCAGTCTGCTATCGCTTACCCTTCAGCTTTGTGTGTGTGTGTGTGCGGCGTTTGTGTTTGCACTGTGTTTCCACTGGTCATCAGCTCGTCAGATTGCACTCGTCTGCAATCGACCAGTTTTGCAGGTCATTAATGTTCACCTTGGCGCGAGGGGTACTTGGCGATAGGCAACCTCAGAGCGAAGCATAGCCGGTGCAAAGTGCTCCCAGTGGCGCAGTATTCTCCATCTCCTTTCACTCTCAATAATTTATTGGTCATCGACACTAACCCTATCTTTCTTCTTCTTTCTCTCTTCAGCCCTGTCGTCGTCGCCCTGGCGCCTACTGTTCCCCCTCGGAGGGCCCTTGCTGCACTGAGAAGTGCACCTTTGAGGGCGATACGAAGCAGTGCCGTGATGACGGCGAGTGCACCTACAAGTCACTGTGCGACGGACAACGGGCACACTGTCCCTCCCCACCGGCCAAACCGAACAAGACCGAGTGCAACATGGGCACGCAGGTCTGCTGGAAGGGCAGCTGCACCGGGTCCATCTGCCAGAAGTACGACCTGGAGGAGTGCTTCCTCACGGCGAAACGCGGCGCCAAGGCCGACGAGATGTGCGAGGTGGCCTGCCAGAGGCGCAACCAGCCGGACACCTGTCGCCGCACCTCGGAGATTGTCATCATGAAGAACATCTCCGGGCTGAAACTGCGACCCGGCTCGCCGTGCAATGACTTTCAGGGCTACTGTGACGTCTTTCAGCGCTGTCGTCCGGTGGACGCCGAGGGACCGCTAGCTCGGCTGAAGAATCTGCTGTTCAACAAGAAGACGCTGATCAGCATCAAGCAATGGGTCACGGTAAGTGAGCTAGTGAACAGCATCACAGTGCTGAGCACATTACTGACCAGCACACACCATCTTCCACACCTCAATGAGCACAATGATCACCACCGAAGGCGCAATAGTAGTGGGGGAGGGAGAGAGGGAGGCACGCACTCGGCGACACTCTGCTGCTAATCTGTCTTTGTCGGCGCGCGCACATTACACAAAGAGCTCATCGAAAAGTGACTTGTTCGTGTCTGTCTGCTGCCTCCTTCTGACGCCGAGCTGGCAAATTAGCATTTGCATTGAGACGACGGTGGTGATTGCCGCTGGTGATGACGTTGTTTTTGTTGTTGTCAACGAGGCTTGCACACACACAACCACTCTCAGTCAGCCAGTCAGTCACACAGTCAAATAGGCTGACCAAATGAGCGCCAGTGAACGACGCCATCATTAGAATCATCGACAGAGTGTGATTAGAGACGGCATGCAAGCCGCACTGCTCACTCCAGGCGACACTCTCCTCTCTCCTCAGCTGAACTCAGAGGCACTGTCACTTTTGACCAGCGCCGGTTTTTGTTCAGCAAGCTCACACACACAGTGGCGAAGAGCAAAAGAGGTGTCTCGCGCCAGCGAATCAGCAGCAGCAGCAGTATTCCCAGACACACGAGTGAATGAACACAGAGAGCAGCTTTGCCAAGGTGTCCTTGAGAGAGAGGTGCCTTTTCAATTTGCCTGCTTTGATTCGCCATTAATAGTGAGAGAGCAGTTTATGTAGTAGTCATTTTGGTATCTTTTCACATGACTAACCTGCCACTCTGCCTGCCTGCCTGCCTGCCCAGTTTGTCTCTCGCTTTCTCTCATCCTATCTTCTTTCTTTCTCCTTTCCTTTTACTCTTTCTTTTCTTTTCTGGTATTTTAACCTTTTCCGCCATTGTCGTTTTTCCTACCTCTACTTTTCCGCCAATGTTAATCTCGATGTTTTCTAATTAATATTTTGCTNTCTCTCATCCTATCTTCTTTCTTTCTCTTTTCCGTTTACTCTTTCTTTTCTTTTCTTGTATTTTAACCTTTTCCGCCATTGTCGTTTTTCCTACCTCTGCTTTACCGCCAATGTTAATCTCGATGTTTTCTAATTAATATTTTGCCCCTACCTTTCACTACTACTGGTTTTCCCTTTCGGTAATTGGCATGACTCTACGGCGCCACTGTTTTCGGTCTCTGGAGCTACTGTTTTTTGCTTTTTTCCATCTGGCAAGCCTTGGCATTTCCTCCTTTTCAATTCTTTTACTAAATGTCTTTTATCGTACATTTGGGGTTGCTGCTGCTGTTTCTGTTAATTTGCGGTGAATTAAACAGAGGCAACGTCGATGAAAGCAATTTAATTTAGGCCAGCCTGCAGTAGCAGCCATGGCGTTTATTCGTTTAGTTGTGTGGCAAACTGTCTACCACGGCCAGCATCTCATCATTGACTGTTGCCGTCATCGTCAATTGCCATTACCATTGACACAAACTTGCAGGCACACAAACATTTCGAATGGGGAATGAGAGTTGCACACAGAGGCACACAATCAAATATCAACATCAACAACAACAACGAGAACAATATGCAAAGTCAGTGGTTGTGCTGGTAGTGCAGCACAGCTGGTAATTGCATGTGCTGGACAAATGACAGCGTGCACCGGAAATTAAGCGGCCACAATTGACGATGCCATGGTTGCCGCTTTCAGTAATGGTCAAAGGTGTGCGTGGAAATGACAGTGAAAGAGAGGCGCCATCCAGCACAGTGTCTGCTGTGCTCTGGTCCTGCTGATGGCCTAATTTGCAACAGTAGTCGAGGGCAGGCGATGGCACACGCCTGTGTAGTAGACGATCGCTTATTCATTTCACTCTGCTCATCACTGATGCTTTCTTGTTGTGAACTGAACTGTGCATCTCTTATTCCTTTTCTTTCCTCACCTGTCCACCACTGAACAAAGGCAAATCACCTCACCCCCTCCCCTGGAGTCCGTTATATTGGCGGCATGTCCTGGCTGATTGATCGATGCTCACACACTCGGTGGCCAATTTCGGCTGCCTGTGATGACTTGCAGAAAAACCTATTTTGTGGCCTCTCATTTGGTTTTCTCTGCGGGCACACGCCACAGCAAATGAGTGCTGCAATTTAATTAGCGCACGCACATCGACAGTAGCTAACTCGATTAGGTTTGCTTTTTTAAATTCACATCAGCAGATTGGCTGGCCGCACTTTGCTTTGGCGCCCGGATGCGCCACTGTCTGTGTTTGCGCCTGTTCGCTGTTAGCTCTCCCTTGACGCACAAAAAACTTGGCAAGCCGACTGACTGACTGACTAGAGCAGCACCGAGTACCAAAGTGAATGACGGCCTTGAGTTGGTAGTTGGCATGTTTGTCAGTCGGACGGCGTTCACTCGATTGATTCTGACGGACAGTGGTCAGTGACCAGCAGCAGCAGTGTTAAAAGTGCACTTCTTAATCATCAAAGTGAGTGAGTGAGTGTAGCCGCAGAGTTTTGCGCAGTTTTGCTTTTGGCCTCTGGTTGGCATGGCGGTCACAAATCAACTAAACTCACAACTCGGCGGGCCAATTAATTTAATTAAACGTAAAGTTAACAACAGAAGCAGTTAAGGGAATTAATCTGCTTTTAGTTTAATGGCAGTACTTTTTGGGGCCTTTACTTTACACCACAGTTTTCATTTGAATCTTCGTTTTTTCTCACTTTCTAGATTCAATCTTTGTACTAAACGCTCACTTTTTTCACTTATAGCAGAAGCCTTTACTGCAGTGCTTTTTGCAGTTTATATTTGTTTTTGGGGATGTGTGTTTGCGCCTTCACTCTTTTTTCTGGGTACTTTTCTTTTTGCGCAACTTTAACATAAAAGTGAATGTGTGCTTTATCATCTTTATGCAGATACAAAACGGTGACTGCTGACTTTAAATTAAATAGCACTTTGCCGATTGATTTGCACACGTAGGGAGAATTTAGTTGCCGTTTATGAAATGCGGAAAAATATGTACTTGATTTATGACTTTTCATGCCCAGTGTGCTACTGGAGGCTGCAATTTAAATATACACACAGTCCCCTTCTTCGGAAGGCACCCCCTCCTTCACAAATGGACGGCCATATTGATTCGTTTTTGCTGTGTGTCGCATCGGCAGTGATTACACAGTGTCGACAGTGCCCAATCGCCGGCTGTGAATTATGTGGCCCAGTCGGCCTTTGGCAGCCAGCACTACCCAACCGTTTGTGTTGACACGTTGCATCGATTGCTGCTGCTGATGCTGGAGCTGGAGCTGCAGTTGGTGTGCACATTTGCATCTGATCGACCAGTTCGGCTGCACTGGTACTGCGTTCTCCTTTCGATTGCTTATCGCTTCGCTGCCTGTCAATGCTGTCGTTGCCACATTTCACTCGTCGCTCTGTGCCTTCACCAGAAGGAAAACTGTTTGCCACTTTCTCTGCATTCTCTACTTTTTCTCCTGCTCACTTGGATCACTTGAAAATTTGATTACCAAACTTTACATAAATCAGCAGTCAATACTGGTACTGCTGCTGCTTCAGCATTGGTTTCGCTGCTCCACTATCTCATTTGAATTGAGTTTTTTCTTGCTCAGCATGACAACTTTTTGTACTATTTGCCTACCCTTTCACTGCGTTCCCTATCTTTCTTTATCTTTTTCTTCCCTACTTGCAAAAATGTTGTAAAAGTTGTTGTTGCCAACTTGGGAAAATTCAATTGCCACAAAAATAGCCTTGTGTGTACACACACTTCACAATTCAATGCGTGCTGGCAGTTTAATTAGCTGTAGTGAATGAGTGCCCACTGTGCACAGTGTGTATAGTTCAGTGCATCGCAGTAGTTCGGCTAACAATTTACCCGTTAATTTTCATTAACTAATTACCCTTTCTCCTTTCTCTTCGCAGACCTACTGGTGGGCATGTACGCTGATCATGTTTGGCGCCATTCTCTTTATGGCTGCCTTCATAAAATGCTGTGCGGTCCACACGCCCAGCTCCAACCCAAAACGAAAGAAAGCCCTTCGAATTACTGACACACTGAGAAGACCTGCAGATACGCTGAGACGAAAGGCAAGTAGTGGTGGAAGTGGTGGTTGATGGAGGTTGTTCAGTCGGGCAAGGGTTACCTAGATCATCATCAGCGAGAAGATCGTGAACCACATTTGGCAGGGTCAAAATTGCGGTGGTGACTACTACTGCTGCTGCTGCTGTTGTGTGGTAATTGCATTGACGTGACCCTTTCCTTCTCTGGTGGCCTTTCAATTAGCCTAATTACATGGTGGACACTGTTGAAGCAGCAGCAGCAGCAGTCCTGCGTCCACACGAGTGCTCAATGTACACACTGCGTTTCACTGTCCCGCTTGTGTGTTCATTGTTTGCAAAGACAACTAAATTGAGTTGCTGCAGAGCAACAGCAGCAGCAAATACCCCCTTTTCCAAAGTTTGATTACGTCTGGCTTTGTTGAATGGACATCGATTGGTCAGAGGCTACTCTTGCTGTTCATCACGTCGTTTCTATTTACTCGTTAATTGCATTTTCGACTTTCTCTTTTCCTTGCTCGGTTGAACCACCACCACCACCTCTTTCTTTTACTTTTAGTCAACTTTACTAATTGAACTCTTTTTCGTTGAACTGCAAACACACAGAGTCGTGAACGTTCTGCTGCTTCCTCTGCAGCCAACGGCCATCACCGAGTTAACGGTAACCGTGATGGACACGGTAATGGCCATCGAAGCGGCGGTGGCGGCGGCGGTGGAGGTCATCGAGGCGATCGAGAGCGCGGTGGACACTCCTCAGGCCAGCACATGCCACTGACCAGTATGCACCCGCCCTCGTCCTCTTCGGGGCAATCGGGATCCGCCGCTCAGGTGAGCAGCAGCGGAGGCGGCAATCACAGCAACGCCCACCACGGCCATTCATCGTCTGCCTATCCGCAGCCAAGCAGTAGTAGTGGTGGTCACGGTCACAGTTCTCAGGCACCACTGGCGGCGGCTGTCGCTGCGAGCAGCAGTGTCGGCCAACTGCCACCCACCCTCGTAGTGAACCTGCCTCCTCCTTCTTCCGCAAAAGACCTCGCCCACTTTGACCCTCCTCCGCCCTACCCGGGCATTCCCAAGCCCAGTGCCCCGCCGTTGACGCTCATTGCGCCGCCGGCTTCGGCGCTGAGCAACGGCGGCCCACCGTCGCACGGCTGGCGGCACAATCGCCAGGGTGGACCTAGTTCCAGCCAGGCGCCCACCTCTGCCAAATCGACCTCTTCCTCCTCTTCTGCTTCCTCATCGAAGCCGGCCAACGGCAAGAAGGGCGACCACCATCACCACCACGAGGTGAAGGGTCGTCGTTCGTGATTTCCGTAGATTTATGTCTTGACGGCCAACTTACCATCATCATCATCTGCATCACACTTATCCCTCCTGACTGTGTTACTATTACTACCACCACCACCACCACTTTCTTTTTCTTTATCTCCTTCTTTACCCCTCTTTCTTCCGATTTTCATTTTCTTTTTTTACCTGCTTAGGTTATTTCTGTTTCAATTGTCATGATTTCCTTTCTTTTCATCATTTTGACTAATTTATTTACCCTGATCATAGTTGGCACACCAGTCATGGCTCTGTATTTCCCATTTTTCTTTTGTAAACAGTTCTCCAAGCACAATTGTCACTCCCCTAAGCTCTGATTAGGCACACCAAAAACAGACAACCAGACAAGCATATGACAGAGACTTCACTCAGATTTCCTTTGATGTCTTCACACGACGCCTTTATTGAGCTGAGTGTACTGCTGTGTTACCACCACCACCTTCTTCACTCTTTCAGTTTTTGTACATTATCTGTAAATAATACGAATGCATTTGTTTTTATGTTTTTCTCTTTTCCCCTTCTTTCCTCCCAATGCCGCAATGGTCAGTGGACGGCATTGGCACTGTCGATAACTTCCTCTTCTTCCCTCTCCTCAACACACTGGCCCCTGTGCCACCTAGTCATATTTAAATGTCACTCGCCTTTTAAATATGCGCCATCAAATTACTCCCAATTGCTGATCTGCCCCACTCTCCCTTTTTTCCTTTTCTCATCTTAGGCCACAATTTTTCTCCTTTTTTATCTATTTTGTCCGCTTTTTGGCAACAAACTCATAGTCATCGGTGATGATAATAATTTACGTACAAAAGTAGTTTGTTTTTGCATCACACACTCTCTCTCAGTACCATGCAGAAACATCGTTGTTGCTTCCCTCTACCACTCTCCTGTACTAAACTTGTCATCAAACAATTCATTGACCCTGTTGTTATATTATGAATAACTTATTATAAAAAATTGTCACCCACTGTACCACCACCACTTTTACGAAAAGTCTTATTTTTCTGCTGTTACGCGCAATGTACAATAATAAAGTATCTTAAATTTTAAACTAACTTTTAAAATTATGGTTAGCATTAGGCGAATTTAATGCTGCTAAGAGAGCTCACTTGAGGAATATAGTCTCTTACTCTCCAAACATCATTTACATGCTTTGACTCGTTGATAACCATGATCACTTGCATGCCACTGGTCTTGGCAGTCACGGCCTCTTCTACAAACTTAGTCAAATAGACAATAGCCTTTGGATCTTCTTTAACTCGATTTGCTACTTTTGAGAAAGTTTCAGAGTTTGTCAAGCTGCCAATCTCTGTGTCTATGACATCAGTAATAAGGCATAGAAGATTTCCTTGTGTTGTTTTCTCCAGAAACTTGCGATTTGCTACAGCCCAACCTGGTAAGTTGTTTAGTTAGTCAAATCAAAATACGCTCAAAATTATAAAATGTTTACCATGCGAAAGTACGTAAAGCTTGATAGCTTGTTGTTGACACCACTTGGTCATCTGCTCAACAACGTCCTTTTTCACAGGAGTGCGAATAAGGTCACGGTCATAGCCGTCAAACCAGAGTTGAAAACGGTACAACACCAGTGGCTTGTTTTCCAAGTTTTTCACTCGAAAATAGTTCACGTAAACACAAACTGAGTTGATCACCGCCACCTTTTCATCTTCTACATTANCTTTTTCACAGGAGTGCGAATAAGGTCACGGTCATAGCCGTCAAACCAGACTTGAAAACGGTACAACACCAGTGGCTTGTTTTCCAAGTTTTTCACTCGAAGATAGTTCACGTAAACACAAACTGAGTTGATCACCGCCACCTTTTCATCTTCTACATTAGCAATTTGCGGAGTGTTTCGACTCTCATCTCTACGAGCAGCAGTACGCATTTGCTCAATTACATCGTGAGTACTTGGTTTGTCAAAGTTTTCATCCAGGAAAACTGGATGGTTTTTTTCAAAAAATGGCAGCAAAACTTTTTCTATGAAAGATCCATCTGTCAAAGTACCCATCACGTCCAGCAAAACTACTTTGGGTGTATTCAGTTGCACTGTCATGCTTAGTTTAAAAATGTATTGTATTCAAAACGATAATTTTTATTAGTGAATTTGTTCTTTTTATATTTTAAATTTCGAATTAGTTGATTTTTTAGTAAAAGTTAACAGATTGAATAGAGTTTATCTATTACTAATTCTGATTCAAAATCGGAAAGATGTCTCGTTTCTTTTGTTTTCTCATTTTAATCTTCTCGCTGTCCCCTTCTCAGTGCGATGTAAGCTTTAAATCTGTTTGTCTATCACTGTTCATCTAATTTTATTATTGTCCTCTTTTAGGATTGTGAATCCGTTCACAACAAATTGGTTGGTCAGATGAGTCAGCTTTCCATAATTGGCGTCATGGAAGAGCTGCTGTACATTGTGGTGCACTATGGCATTACGAATGTATCGTTGTACCAGGTGCCAGTGTCACAGCTTCACTCCACAGAGGTGTCACTGATTGGTGTTTCTGCAATAACGCTAGAGCATAAATGGCCCTACCTCAACGATTACCCCCAGCTGGAAGATCTGAAACAGCAAATGTACACTAAAACAGGCCTGGCAACCATTCGTGGTGGACCCACGTTGATGTACTTCGCTGGCTACAATGAGTCAGGCATCATGTGCACTGATGCTTCTTGTCCCAAGGAGCTGCACAACATTGACACCATCAGTGTCTCGGTGGACCCTGAGTGGGCGTTCACAATGCAGCTATGGCAAAATGCGGAAAACATGGCTGAGTTGACAAAGACGGCCGTTTGGATCTCCTCCAGCAGACCAAGACGTTTCTACTACTTTCGGAAATCAAACCATAGTGAAGAGTACTTTTTTAAGGAGTACCTAATTTCATTTGTTTACTCCAACCAAATCCTACCAATTGATTCTTCTCGAGTTTTACTTTGTGCCCATGGCGAGAACCAAATGATGATTAGTGACAGTGATAAATGTGACAAAAAGCTAAAGTGGCTCTCCAACGTTCGCACTGGGTTCACTGACAAGAAGTGGCTTCGTATGTTCACCAGTGACAAAGTGTACATCTTTGAACAGAAAGCATTTCAAAAAGTTGGAACACCTCACGATCTCTTTGAACGCAGTTTTGAAGATTTTTTCAAGTGCAAAGAATCGGGCAAAAACAACAACTCTAATGGAGTGAACTCGTTAGCTATTCCAATTGTCGTTATTGTCTTTTGTTTTTTGTTGGCAGCTACTGCACTAATCTGGTTCCTCTGCATAAAAAAACGCAAAGCATCAAAACTGAAAAAAGGAGGCAGTAACCTTGTCGCAAAAAATGGAAAGATTCTCTCTACCAAAAAGAAATCCTCAACAAAGAAAAGTTCTAAAGAACAAAAAGTCTCAAAAGAAAGAAAAGATTCAAAAGAGCGAAACGCTTCTTCATCAAACTTAAAGAAAAATTCAGCAAAGAAATCTTCCCAAAAAGGATCATCTAAAAAGGGAATAGTAAAAACTAAAGATGGAGGCCAGAAAAGATCTGTTATGACGACAGTAAAACCGCAACTGCTGTCTATAAATAAAAAGGCATCAGTAAACACACAAAAGGCTTCACAACAACAAGGAACACAACAACCCTCAGTCCAAAAAGCCCCTATCATATCAAAGCAACCATCAGCTCAAAAAGCAACCGTTGGAGCACAACAGCCTTCAGCCCAAAAAGCATCCATCGGAACTCGAAAAGCATCAGTTGGAACAAGCAAAAAGTCTGTGAAAAAAACATCAATTGGAACGCGAAAAGCATCGGTGGGAACACGAAAAACCTCAATAAAGAAAGCATCAATTGGAACTCGAAAAGCATCTATTGGAACACGCAAAGCATCTATTGGAACACGCAAAACGTCAGCGCAAAAAATACCAACAAGAAAAGCTTCTTTAGGAACACGAAAAACCTCTGTTGGAACACGGAAAGCATCACTTGGGTCGCGCAAAACTTCTGCCCGAAAAGCATCCATTGGGACTAGGAAAAGTAAAGACCGAAAGCATTCTAAACAAACTCTAAAGACTAAAAGTCGAAAGGCGTCCACTCAAACCAAAGTTTCAAAAGATAAGAAAGCTACATCAAAACAAAAACGTCCATCAAGTCGAAAGACTACTAAAAAAACATCTGCACGAAAGAAATCGGCAAAACGACATAGCAAAAAAGCCGCCAAAAGTAAAAAGTCTTCAAAGAAGCGAACATCTAAAGGTCAACGCGTTGAAAGTAAGCGAAAGCATTCACTGGGCAGACGTGCCTCTTCGAAAAAACTCAACGAGCGAAAAACTTCTAAAGCCAAGAAGACAATCAGTCGAAAAGGCAGTATGAAAAGCAAGAAAACTGCTAAGCATAGTCTTCGCCGAAAAGGCACAAAATGAACCTTACTTTCTTTGTCAATTTCAACAGTTAACATTTTTAAAAATTGTTAAATGCTGCTAATTTAATTTTGCAATTATCAGTTTATCTTTGAAAAATAAACTAAATGGATTTTTAAAAAGTATCTTCATTTATAAAATATAAGCTTTATGTTGCTTATAAGCAATTTGTATGTCATAAAAAATCATTAATCGTCGCCGGCAGCGGAAACAAAGTTATCCTCCTGTTTGAGCTTCTGTTCTCGGTCAACCTNTTTTAAAAATTGTTAAATGCTGCTAATTTAATTTTGCAATTATCAGTTTAACTTTGAAAAATAAACTAAATTGATTTTTAAAAAGTATCTTCATTTATGAAATATAAGCTTTATGTTGCTTATAAGCAATTTGTATGTCATAAAATAAAAATGCGAAAAATCATTAATCATCGCCGGCAGCAGAAACAAAGTTATCCTCCTGTTTGAGCTTCTGTTCTCGGTCAACCCCCTGAGTTTCTTTTTCATCTAAATCAGGAGAAACTTGAAGTAGAGTTCCACCGGGACCATAAACTGCAATAATCTTGGCCGAAGTTTTGAGCTCTGAGTGCTGTTCAGCACTAGCTGGAGAAATCCACTTGCCATCTTTTTTGTCCTCTGAGCTTGCCTGAATCTGAAGGCGATCACGAAAACGGCGAATCAGCTGAGATTGTTTGCGCACCACCATTAAATCATTGGTAAAGGAGGAGATTGAATGAGCAGTGCCTGGAGAAAAATGCTTAAAATTAAAAAACAAGATCATTCAAAGGCTATAAAACGCACTCATTTCCAACTCATCAGAATCGTTTTTGTCCTCCTCGTAGTCGTCATCGTCCACTGAAAAATCGTGACGATCAAAGGTGCTGCTATTGCTGTGTTCTTCATTCTCGCCAAAATTTTCGTTAACTGGCTTGAGCGAAATAGCAGAAGAAAAGTGATCTTCACTCAACGACTGATTGGACTCACTTGAGGGAGACTTTTCTGTAAAGCATAAACAAGATGAAAAGCAAACTGTATAGAAACATAGCCCATCACTTACCTTCTTTAGCAGTATTCAAAGCAAACAGCTCACTAAAAGTTGGTGAATGACCATAATCATCAGATTCACTTTCCTCAACTATTTGCTCTTCATTTTGAACTTCCTTTAGGTTCTTCTTTGAGCCACTGGGCAAAAAGTTTTTCACCAGCTGGCGGACAAACTTGCGAAAACTGACTTCACCGTCAGAGAGGCTTTCATCGTTGCTGTTGTCATCAACTTTGCTTCCATCCTTATGAACAGCAAAAGCAGAACTGCTTTCGGGCATCATAGTTGACTGATCATCACACTGAAGATGTGGCAGTGTTTCAATTTCAGATGTTTCAGAAGAGACTGAAACAGATGAGGAAACAAAAGCATCCAATTCTTTTTCTTCTTCAGGATCGGTAAATCCAACAAGGGAGTTTTCTTCCTCTCCATCATGACTTGAAATGCTGGAACTTGAAGATGACATTTTCAGAGATGATAAAAACTTGAGTAAGAGCAGTTAGGCAAAAAAGGTGCGAGGACGACTAACGTAAAAATGAAATGAGTCTTTTTGAGAATAAATCACTGTCACAGTTAGCAAAAGTTCGAATTTGTAGTGTGAAAGCACACGTGCACAACTGTGTAAATGCTGTAATAACATACAAAGAGGTACGATTAGAAATCAAACAAAAAAGTAAAATTAAAAATAATGTGCCCGAAGAAGTGGATGTCTGAGGAGTTGGCCGCTCGGGTTGAGGTAGATGCGTAGGCGTGACACTAGGAATACTGGAAAAAGCAGTTTAGTCATCGGCGCCCTCTTCTTCTTCTCCTCCTCCTGCTCCATCGTCGCCCTCAAACTCGGCATCCACTTCTTCGCCATCCTCGGGTTGCGCCTCAGCCTCTGCCTCCTCGGGGGCGTTCATCTGCGAAAGGTGACACTCATCTTCCGCTTCCACCGGGGGCAGATTCTCCTCCTCCTGGCCGACTGCTCCTCCCTCAAAACCAGTGGCAGCAGCAGCGCCCCCGGTGGCGTCAGTGTCCGCCTCTTCGCCGATATCCGGCGGAGGCTCTTCTTCACCGGCAGGCATGGCCGCCGCGGCCGCAACCGCAGTAGGAGGAAGCGGAGCCTTCTTGACGACAGTCTCCTGGACGTTCTCAATGGCCGACATGCCGCCGACGTGCGAGTCCTCTTTCACCGCCAGCTGGGCGGCGTCTCCCAGTTTGCAGCTGGCCTCAGTCAGCATGCTGACCGGCGCTTGAAAGTACTTCTCCTTGAGCAGCTCCCCAGTGGTGATGCGCTTCTTCGGGTCGAGAATGAAGACACGGTGGCAGAGATTGCGCCCCAGTGTGTTCATCATGTGGTTCTTGATGAAGCTGCGCCACTGGGAGCTGAACTTGGTCTTTTTATCACGAACGTTAAAAGGATAGGAGCCGGTGGTCATGGCCACCAGGGCGACGCCCAGTGACCACACGTCCGCGGGGCCGGGGTTGTAGGCGCCGGTGAATGATTCAGGGGGCAGGTGCAGGTTGGATCGCACCCGGCGTTCCTTCTTCTGCATGAGAATGCTCGTCTTGGTTGAATTCTTGTAGAAAAAGACCGACTTGCTCCAGCCAATCAACTTTGGTTTGGAGTTCTCGTCCAGAAGAACGTGCTGGCAGTGGGAGAAAAAAGGACGATTGCAAATGATTACAAACTTTTTGACGTACCTGCAACTTCACGGCACGGTGAGCGACGCCAATTCGCTGCAGCTCGTGAATGCCCTTCACCAGCGCCTTGAACCAGTCTCGAATCATCGTCTGCAGGGCTTCCTTGCTCTCCTGACTGCCCGCCGCATCACTGGCCGCCTTTCGCTGCGCCTTCACCCAGTCGTACACCGATCGACCGGGACAGTACTGCATGAAAACGAAGAGCTTCACCGTGCCTACGAGAAAGATGTCCGCCACCTGAACGAAGATCGGCGAGAGAGGGCCCTTTCGGCGGTGACCCGTCTTCGGGTCCTTCTCACTGCCGGCGACGCTGACGTAGCGCATTATGCGGACGGCATTCTGCAGCAGATTGACGCGAGCTCGAGGGGAGCACTCGGCCAGGGTGATCACCTTCACCACCAGCCGGCCACCAGCAAGGCTACCACCAAGGTCAGCGGCCTTCTTTGCTTCGGCACTGATCACCGTGGAGTAGTCACTGGTGTAGTAGGGAGCGACGGCATTGACGGTGTACCCGGCACTCTCGATTGCCTTTTCACTGTTCACCGCCACCGCTCCCTTGCTTGCCTCAACTTTGCGTATCTTGCGACAAATCTTCTTCTGCTCCTTCAACTCTTTGGAGGCAGAAGAGGAGGAGGCAGATTTTCCGCCGCTTTTCTTCTTTGACTTTTTGTTGTCAGCTGACTTTTTCTTTGACTTCTTCTTTTCATCAGCTGACTTTTCCTTCTTTTTCTTGGATGACTTTTCTCCCGCCTTTCTATCGGCGCTCTTCTTCTTTGACTTGGCCTTTGCTTTGCTTTGCTTAGAACCACTAGTGGCAATCTTACCGCTCTTGGGCTTGGACTTGCTTTTTTGGTCAGAGGATTTTGGCTTCTTTTTGCTCTTCTTTTTACTGCTACTGACATTGGTTGGCTTCACGTTTGCATCAGTTGAAGCCGAAGCCGAAGCTGATTTGGAAGCAGAGCCAGTTGAGTAGACGGAGGCAATCTCCGACATACTCTGAGACTTGCTTTTGCTCTCTTTGCTCATGTTTGGATCGTCGCTTGACATGACGATGTACACGTGTTGGTTGAACTGCAACAAAAGAAATGATTTGATAAGAACGAGCTCAAACGTTTAATATGACAATAGAAATGAACACGTTCTATAGAACTTTACCGCTGTTCCGTTTGCATGAATCCCAAGTTTCACTCAACAATGTTTTGATACAACTTTATTACAAACACTAACAAACCTTTTTGTTATTTCTACATTTCTATTTTTCACCATGTCTGAAGATCATGAGCTGGGCCTCTTTAATGCTACCTTCAACTCGATGGAGTCTGCCGACTCTAGATCAGCCAAAGAAGTAAACAACCGCTTCACAACACCGAACACCGCACAATCACCTGACACTGAACAACAACAACAGCAGCAACAACAACTTCAACTGAGCTGCACTTTTGCCGACTCTGTGGCGGTAGCTCTCATCTGTGGGAAACATCAAACGGTCGCACTGTGCCGACTGCATCAGGAAAAGGGCGGCCACTGGTTTCCAATGGTGCAGCTGAAGGCACAGCAGAGTCAGCTGGCCACTGTTGAACAGCTCATACGACGCCTTCTAAAGGCACGTCCTACAGCAAACTCTGGTACAGGCCAACAAGCTGTGCCGCCGCCGCCTCAGCTGATCGACACACTGCGCATTCAGGTGCCAGTGTCGCTGTTCTTTGTAAAGCGCTTTCTCTTCCACTGTCAACTTCCAGTGGGCATCACCGACTGTGAGTGCATGCACTCGACGCCGACCACACCGTCGTCGTCGCCCACCTCATCATCCGCTCAAGTAGTCTGGTGGCCGTTGACTGAGGCAATCAAACTGACCAGCCTTTGGGGCCCAGAGCCGACCGTCCACCTCAGTGGGCCGTTCCAAGGCGCCCACCACCCACTGCCACACAT